AAGCACAACATGCTCACATTCCTGGTTCCGGGTTGGCGGCACCTGCTTATGCTAAAAGAGGGAGAACGGACTGAGGTAATTTACATCGCATTCATTTTACGATAACATGCGATTTGGCTCAATTTAATGACGAATTAATTTTGTCAGCCAACGAGCGTCGTGTAAGCGCGCCGAGTCTTGACCGACCGATTGTAAAATCTGGTCTACACGCCAGCAGACTGATTCCGAAGAACGCTCAAGGGAAGCTGCCCCGCTCTTCGGAATCGGTAGTCGGAGGTGCGTATGACGCGGCCGATGTCACATCGTCGAAGTTGACTCTTCGCCGCCACGGGGCTCCTGCTTTGGACGACTCGTGGCTCCCCTTGGGTCGGACACGTGGATGCGCCTGCCGGGACCTCCGGAGGTCTGTAAAGTTAGTGCCGCCCGTCCGTCCGTCCGTCCGGCGCCCGTCCGTGAGGTTGACGCTGACGGTACTCGACAATGGCGCTAGGCGGCGCTAGGCGGCGCTGTAGGACCACCGGACCACTCGCGCGCACTGTAGTCATTTGTCTTTTCCCATTTGACAATTTGACTTGGGTTTTAGATGGTCTCGTCTTGCCCTAAAGAACTTTTTTGTGAAGTTGTTTCTTCATTTTCTTCAAAAGTTTCTCACCGCTGCCATTAGGATGGGTACGTACAGTATGTTCTCACTTGAACATGGTCTTTTGGTCGAGGATTTCAAGAAATCTGATTGTCGTTTTGGTTTAATTTCGCGTTTTCTGGACAGATTCCTCTCCCGGGAGTCCAACCCCCTCCCAACCCAAAAGAAAGTGCAAAATAAAAACGCCTCAGCATTTCAAGGTGCCTGGGGTGCCCGGGGTAGCCATTTCAACCCCATTAAAATTGAATAAGGCTGCCCGATCACTTGGTTTTGGAAGCTCGAATTCAAAGAGGAGTGTTGTTAAAGTATTGGACGTACCTCGCCATTTCATTCCAGTGAGTTATTTTCGAAGTCATTGTACTCTGAAATCTATGTCCTGTGTTCTTACAAGTCATTTTCTGTTACAGTTAAATTTTATCAAATCTCTAGAGAAGAAGCTGAAGACTGTACTTAAATTAAATGATGCTAATGATGTCATAAAAGGTATGATTGAATATGACAAGAACACCAACTGTGTGACTTTAGAGGTAAGTTTACACGTGTTAAGAGTGAGAATGCTGTTGCGAAAATCCACATCGTTCTTAATTATGGTTCTTTTTGTTTGACAGCTTACTTCCAATAACGCTGCAGAGCAACTGATTGATCTGCGTACTATTAAATTAGTGAATCAGACACTCCGTTTTGAATCTGACGATGAAGACCCATTTCAAGATGTCTCTGCTATTGTAGGCTATGACGATGTGTATGATGAAGAAACTTTTGTAGATGATAAAGTTGAT